GGACGGCCCCCCCCAGCCCCCCCGGGCCTGGAGCGTGGTCAGTTCACAATCCTCACCTAAGAGGTGCGGGGCGGGGGCGCGGGAAGGAAGAGTCTGCGAAGCACGTACTGCGCCTGCTTGCTTGTTTTAATGGTATTTACTTATTTTTTGATTGCTTGCTTGTTTTTTTTTAAAATATATTTTATTGATTTTTTTACAGAGAGGAAGGGAGAGAGACAGAGTTAGAAACATCGATGAGAGAGAAACATCGATCAGCTGCCTCCTGCACACTCCCCACTGGGGATGTGCCCGCAACCAAGGTACATGCCCTTTACCGGAATCGAACCTGGGACCCTTGAGTCCGCAGGCTGATGCTCTATCCACTGAGCCAAACCGGCCAGGGCATGATTGCTTGCTTGTTTTAATGGTGTTTGCTTATTTTTTGCCTGAATTGCAGGCAATCTCATCCCTTCTGCACTGACTTGACGTAATCCTTCTCTCAGAATCAAAGCCTTCCCAAGAAGTGCGCAGTCACTTGCGTCGGGGGAGGGGCCCTGTCCAGCTGTCTGAGATCCCAGGTGAGTTGCTCCCATGTTCGTTGCTTTCTGATGTGGACACATACTTCTCACACTGAGAGCTCATTTGTTTTTGCTCTTTGCTCCCCACTGCATCCTCAGCGTCTACCCAGTGTTTGGTGCGTAGCAGGTTCTCCGGAAATCTTTGCTTCATGAATGAATGAATGAGATAATGAATCACTTCCTAGAAAATCTATCTTTTTTCACAAAAGTTGGAGATGAAGGAGGGAACAGTTAAATACAAAATACCTTTAGTAAAGGGGGAATAGGGCACAGCTACTCCTCTAGGAAAGGCTGTTAAAAGAATATTGATGCTTGGGAGAGAGATTGCATGTAGTATTTGGTTTCATTTAAGTGGGTAATAGCTGACTGAAATGGTTAAGGACGTCCAAGATTAATTTTTTTTTAAGTTCAGATAATTAACTTTATTATCTGAAATGTATTAAGACTTGAATGTAAGACCTGAGAATATAACATTCCTGGAAAAGTCCTGGCCGGGTAGCTCAGTTAGTTGGAGCGTCGTGGCCATATACCAAGGTTGTGGGTTCAATCCCTGGTGGGGCACATACAGGAAACAACCAGTGAATGTGTGACTAGGTGCCGATGTCTTTCTCTCCCTTCCTCTCTCTCTCTAAAAATCAATAAATAAAAATGTTAAAAGAAATTCCGATAAGAAAACAGGGGGAAAGCTCCTTCACATTGGTCTTGGCAATGATTTGTTTGGACAACACCAAAGCACAAGCAGCACAAGCAAAAATAAGCAAGTGGGACTGCACCAAACTAAACAGCTGCACAGTGCGGGGTCCAGAACGAGTCACCCCAAGCTATGCCTCTGTAGTAAACAAACTGTTTTGAGCTAAAGGCAACTTTAGCTTCATGGTCAGGAGAAACATCTACCCTCTGCACCCCCTTTAACTGCTTAGAAGAATTTGAATTAGGGGCCTTGCCCGTAGAGATTATCAGTGGTAACTTTTTCAATTGACCTATATAGAAGGCAAACTTTCATTAACTAAACATCTGCTCTTCTTATCATCCTGGAATGACCCTTTGAAGCCCCCAAGGTGTGTTACCTCATTCCTAGCTCAGGATGTCATGTACCTCCATCCCCATTTCTATCTCGGAACCTCTCCTACATGTGGGACCTCTGACTCTCTCATGGATGTGTGGCTCCCATACATTTGTGTGTATTGAATTTGGTTATTTCCTCTTGCTAATCTGTCTCATGTCTATTTGAATATTAGATCAGGCAGAAGAACCTTGAGAAATTTTGTTCCTTTCCCACAATAGCAAAGGAGACAATCAATAAAATGAAAATGCAACCTACAAGAAAGGGAAAGAAGATTTGCAAACCGTATAGTTGTAAGAGGTTAGTCCTCCAAATATACATACACACAATTGTAAAAAAAACACACCTAATAATCCAATTTTTTAAACAGGCAAAGGACCTGAATAGACATACAAATTGCCAACAGGTACACCAAAAGGTGCTCAACATCAGTCACCATCAGAGAGATGTAAATCACCTCACACCTGTTAGAACGGCTACCACCAAAAAGACAAGACATAACAAATCTGGGCGAAGATGTAGGGAAAAGGAAACCCTAAGCACAGTTGGTGGGAATGTGAATTGGTACAACCATTATGGAAGACTGTATGGAGGTGCCTCGAAAAGTTAAAAATAGAACCACCATATGATCAAGCAAGCCTGCTTCTGGGTTTATATTTGAAGGAAATGAAATCACTATCGTGAAGAAATATCTGCACCATGCTCACTGCAGCATTATTGACAAGAGCCAAGACATGGGTATATCAATGTTTTTAAAATGTACGGCGCTAATGGGCTGCAATGTTTCTATGAACTTAGAAATTACAGAAAGTGACCCAAGTAGCCTTATCATGTTGGCGACTTGGGATCCGGGGATGTCAGAGAACAATGAGTACGTGATCCATAAAGCTGTAAGAAACCAGAAGGAAGCAAACTATTACATTTGGGCCTTCCCTGCTATGACCCTGCCCCTCGATTACCCCACCCAGGCCACGGGCGCCCCCTGGCTGGTCTTCCTTGCACACAAAACTCCCTCTCCGCTCGCATCCTGGCACAGGCTGTTGCCTGTATCTGGAACTCTCTTCTCCCATTATCTACTAACTCTCTCATCTCCTTCAAGTCTTTGCTCAAATATGACCTTCTCCATGCATGTAGGATGTTACCACTGTGTTTAAAATCGCAGCTCCAGGCCCTGGCTGGGTAGCTCAGTCGGTTAGAGCATCATCCTGCTATGCCAAGGTTTCGGGCTTCATCTCTGGTCAGGGCACATAAAAGAAGAAACCAATGAATGCATAAATAAGTGGAACAACAAATTGATGTTTCTCTCCCCTCCCTTTTCTCTCTCTCTCTCAAATCAATAAATACATTTTAAAAATAAAAATAAATAAAAGAATTGTTAAAAATTGCAGCTCCAACCTTCCCCAGTTCCTCATGCTGCTGATCCCCCTTTACACTGTTCTACTTTTTTCTAATTTTTTCATAGTATTTATCAATTTCCAGCATGCTATAGACTTTACTTATTTCTTATGTCTACTATTTATTGTTGGTGCCCCTGCCTTTCTTCCACTCCCCTCCCTGAACGCAGAATTCTTTGCTGTTTCCTATTTATTTATTTATTATTGTTTAAAGTATTACAAACAGCAGTACATATGTCTCCTTTTTCCCTCATTAACATTTTTAATTTTATTTTTTAATTGTAGTTGCCATTCAATATTATTTTATATTACTTTAAGGAATACACAAGAGTGGTTAGACATCTACATAATTTACAAAGTGATTCACACAATATAACCAGAACCCGCCTGGAACCATACAGAGTCATTACAACATCCTTACTACCTTCCCTATGTTGTACTTAACTCTCTATCCCTCTCCCTTCTTCTCTGTAAAAAATCAATAAAATATATTTTAAAAAAAAGTATTACAAACAGCAGTACATATGTCTCCTTTTTCCCCCATTGACTTCTCCCAGGACTCCCACCACCCCACACCACACCACCCCGACACATGCCCATGTGTCTTTGCTGTTTTATTGACTGGTACATGTTAGTCATTCAATGTTTGCTAAATGGTACATGTAGGCATTCAATATTTGCTAAATGACTAAATTCATATAGTGTGGAGATTGGCGGAAAATCCTTTGGCTGTTTGCTATTATCATTTTCAATGCTTTTCCACTGTAGTTAACTTTTTTTTTAAGTTTTATTGATTTCAGAGAGGACAGGAGAAGAAGAGAGTGATAGAAACATCAATGATGAGAGAGAATCATTAATCGACTGCCTCCTGCACGCCCCGTACTGAGTATCGAGCCCACAACCTGAACATATGCCCTGACCAGGAATGGAATCGTGACCTTCTGGTTCATAGGTCAACACTCAACCACTGAGCCATGCTGGCTGGGCTAGTTAGCTATTTAATGCCCCTTAAAAATGATAAAACATATAAGAGTGAAAACTTCAGTGAATGGGTTACTATGTTTGTAAAATACAATGAAAAAAATGTAATGTCTATTCCCCAGGAAACTGATTCAAGACTGACACTTATTTTGGATAAGTAGACCTAGTTTCAAAGCAACTTCATTATGAAGCAATTATCAGCCACCTCTTTAATACATTTTGCACAGGAAATTCAAATTGTGTATACTCTCTTTTTCGTTGGGAGAAATAGACAGGTAATATCATCTCATTTTACTGTCAGGGAAAGTGATTTGCTTATCTAAGCTCATCCTCCTTGTCCAGGGGCAGAATCCAGAGTCCTGACTTTTACAACTCAGCTGGAAAAACACTGAGCAAAGAATGCTTGCAGGGACTGGCTTATGTGAACTAGGGAGAAAACCAGGTATATCATCTGGTTCCTCAGTAATTCCTGTACTCCCTAAAATAACCAAATAATTAATAAATGGTGGAAAGACAAATTATTTCACCCAGTTTTCAGCCTAGGGGGAAATGTGGAATGAAGGACCCATTGCTGGGATTGAGAAGTCGTCTTGGCATCCTCTAGGGCAGTGATTCTCAACCTTCCTAATGCCGCGACCCTTTAATACAGTTCCTCATGTTGTGGTGACCCCCAACCATAAAATTATTTTCGTTGCTACTTCATAACTGTAATTTTGCTACTGTTATGAATCGTAATGTAAATATCTGATATGCAGGATGTATTTTCATTGTTACAAATTGAACATAATTAAAGCATAGTGATTAATCACAAAAACAATATGTAATTATATATGTATTTTCCGATGGTCTTAGGCGACCCCTGTGAAAGGGTCGTTCGACCCCCAAAGGGGTCATGACCCACAAGTTGGCGACCCACAGGTTAAGAACCGCCGCTCTAAGGTAAATTAGAAAGGTCCTTCGTGGCTGGTGCTGTTCTTGCCTCGTTGTTCCCTCCAAGCTGGCACACAGAAGTCACAGTGTGCTGGGGATGAATCACTGTGTGGCTGGGGACCAATTATGAAAACATGACCTCTCCTCTGAAGAGGGAACATGACAATCAATTTACATGAATGGATCATCTGCAATAAATGACTAACCTATGGGTGTTGAAAAGGAGTTACCCACAGGCATGGCCTTTGTCTCTTAAGAAAATGCTGTAAATCTTAAGACTTTGAGTCATGAGGCCACATAGGCAGGAGTGGCACCACTGCTCTTAGTGGATTAGCTGCTGGTAAATAAGAAAAAGGGATAGCCAATGGGCTGTTATGAAGATGACGGATGAGTCACCCCCTTATCTTTCTCTCTGGTAATCTTCGGTGATTTCAGGAATAGGTAAAGCTCATGCTCTTATTCTCTTACGCCCGGGCTCACATACACCTTGCACATACTGTGGTCAGACATATGTTTGGCTTCACTTCCTTACTTGCACATCCCCATGTATCCTTGGGTGCCAACTTCATGCCCCTTAAAGCTAACAGGATTTTGCTGTGATCAGGGTGTACATGGGAATTTAAATTTGTACCCATGCAATAAATGGCTCATTAGTACCCAACCTGAAGTCTATATAAACTCCTCCAAGATTATGTAGAAAGCAATCTAATAAAAATGATAAAAATATTGTCAAGTAACTTTTATGTATGAACTACTGTGCTATTGAAAATAAGGGACCAGGGCCAGCTGGCGTGGCTCAGTAGTCGAGCATTGACTATGAACCAGGAGGTCAGAGTCCGATTCCTGGTCAGGGCACATACCCAGGTTGTGGGCTTAGTCCCCAGTGTGGTGCGTGCAGGAGGCAGCTGATCAATGATTCTCTCTTATCATTGATGTTTCTATCTCTCTCTCCTTTTCCCTTCCTCTCTGAAATAAAAAAATAAAATAAGGGACCAGTGCAGTATTAGTCCTCAAGCAACAGGATGGCTGATTTCTACTAATACAGAGATTTGGGGACCCTGATAAAAATCCAGAACCATATGAGAGGCATCTCTCCAGGACCAGGAAGAGGAAGTTTGAGGGAGCTGGTGGCAATGCCAGAAGGCTGATCTGGATGAGTGGAACTTGGGTTAGAGTGAGCCAGGAGCAAGTAGGAAATGAAAATACTAATAAAAGCAAAGAAAGGGTTTTCAAGGATGATTTAAAAAGAGAAAGAAAAAAAATTTTTTTTTCTTTTGCAAGGCAAATATTTTTACTTCTGCAGAAAGGTATGTACCAACTCAGAGTCTGGCAGCACATACACTGAGTGGGTGGTCTGCTTGGGCTTTTATTCTGATGCATGTGATCTGTCCTTCACTCTTGATTGGTCACAGAGCTTAGGCTCACACTCTTACATGGTTGACTAATTTACAGGAAGGGGCTGACCTTTGCTGTTTCAAAATGGCAGCCCGCAGGGTTGCTGCAAGTCATGCAAACCAAAATGGCGGCTGCCTAAACTCTCTGCTTTGACAGAAAAGATTACTTGTTTATTCTCACAATTCCCCCCTTTTCTTATTTAACTCTTTTCTTCAAACTTGGTTAACATTCATTGACTTTCATGCTCTGCAGTGTCTAGAAGAAGATTATTTTGCTGTTTGGTCAATGCGGTTTCAATTAATAACTCTTTTCTTCAAACTTGGTTAACATTTGTTGACTTTCATGCTCTGCAGTGTCTAGAAGAAGATTATTTTGCTGTTTGGTCAATGCGGTTTCAATTAACCTTTGGATAAGACCTCTTATACATGGGATGATATAATATCCACTGCTGTCATTCCCTTCCATTCTCCAGACCATTGCTAAATCGGAGAAAGGACCCTCAATTCCAGAATTCTCAGCTGACTCATTGGCTAAAGTTGTTAATCCCTGTTGGGCCTTAGTGATGGTTTTGTCTGGAGCTGTGTTGTCAGGGATGAATGTACAACACTGGTCCCCAACATTACACAAACTCCTCCTTTTCTGCCAGAATCATATCCAAGGCCCATCTATTCTCCCACGTCATCCTCTGCTGGCATCTAGCTGCTCGCTGTCCCTTTAACTGCATCTCAAGTATAGTTAACAAGCCTTTGCTGGTCCTAGTAAATATAATTAATCTAACCATATTCTTGTTTACAGTGGACTACCAGAACAGGACAATCTGATTTCCAGTCTTGAACTCCTTGGCACTCCTCCTGGAACCCCAATGGGATCTATGTACATATAAGGATCAAAGGAGCCCCCCGGACTCTCTCCTCTTCCTAGTCTGTCTGTCCATTGAAAAAGGTTTACGATAAGCCAACGTGAAAGAGATAGCCAATTGTATCAGAGCACAAGTCCCACTTTATTTGCTGGGCAAGGCCCAAGTAAGGGTCCCCCATAACACCACCAGACATCAGCACAGGGTATCGACAGTGCAGCACGATTGGCTTCTGAGGATACTCGGCCATTTACGTATCTGGATAAATGTCTCATAAACTCTGAGCACTGTTCCTCCCCTTGAGAGGCAGGAGGTATAGTTTACGTTGGAGGACGGGGCCCGATCGGGGCCTGATCGTTTTGTGGAATCCCTGCTCTTTACCTTTGTTGGATGGGAACAACAGGGAGAGCATCAGCCAACGTGAAAGAGATAGC